GTTTTGTTTTTTCTTGAACTCTCATGGTCTGGTTCCATAGAACGGGATGTTCTTGCACAACTGGTATTATTAATTATTCAAATGCATCCTTACTAAAAAACCTGAAATGTCATCTTTAAATTATATACTTGTGACCTTAAAGTTAAATAACATATCAAATTCAATAAAAAACATATCGAGGGTCACAGTACAGTACATCGTCTCATTTTTGGTATGATTATCCAGGAAATTTCCAAAAAACATACCTAATTTTACATTAAATCATTATTATTTTTTTAAATGAATTATTTTATAGAGTCGAAATATCAATGCTTTATTACCCAATAAAATATTTTGAATTATTTTTGCTGAAATATCGCAATTTTTTTTAAATATATAATTTTATTAAAAAAATCATACAAGGTCCTGCCTTGTGACCGTCGATATCTAGAAATGATAAACAATACAGAAGACTAGTCATGCTCGAAAAATGTATATGACAGGTCATACAGGGTGGCGCATCTCATTCGCCTCGGTTGATTATACGAAAACGGAAAGATTTATAAACAAAATATTTTATGGGTATATGTAGGAAGGCAATGTGCATAATTTAAAATTATTTTGAAATATACAGGGTATGTCAGAACTAAGATCCACACCACAGTTATATTTTTTCTTATGGAACACCGGGTATTTTATTTCATTTTTGGATTCTTGGGCCCAAAAAAAGGCATTTATTATGAAGGTTAAATATGTTTAAAATGTTTGGTTTTTGAGATATTTAAATATGCATGCTACAATAGAATAGATTAATAACACTCTGTACATTACTTTTCAGAATAAATTCTTGTGCTGAGTTTAAAGGTAGAGAAATAAACTTTACTGAAAAATGTTATTGCTTCCTTAAATTTATACAGGGGTACCAAAAATTGCTGGTCTATTTTAATGATTTATTTTATATAAAAACTTCGTTATTTCAAATGCAAAAATAGAACCAGTAGTTTTTTACCAAAGCATAAGCTCTTGACACCAAGAAGCAATTTTCCTCACAAAATAAAATCACTAGTAACATATCCATTCGTTCCACCAGCAGATACTGCTTTATTTTTCTTGACAAAATAATGAATACTTACTTATTAAACTATTGTGGGTAAATATAAGTAAACTGTTATAAATCTAAATAATAATGTCCATAAACTTATGTCGATTTTGAAAATAGTTACTAACTGTCACTAGAAAATTGCCATGGCGATACCAGCCATCTTGATTGCTATTTTATTGAAAAAATCGCTTTTTATTCAAAATCTGAGTTAGATAGGTATAGGAAATCCTAATATAGTTTGAAAGAGCATTTGAATCTGCTTCGATTTATTCTGAAAAATAAAGGGTGTTGCATTTGAAATAACGAAGTTTTTATATAAAATAAATCCTTAAAATAGACCAGCAATTTTTGGTACCCCTGTATAAATTTAAGGAAGCAATAACATTTTTCAGTACAGTTTATTTCTCTACCTTTAAACTCAGCACAAGAATTATTTCTGAAAAGTAATGTACAGGGTGTTAGTAATCTATTCTATTGCAGCATGCAGATTTAAAGATATTTAAATATCTCAAAAACCAAAGATTTGAAACATATTTAACCCTTATAATAAATGCCTTTTTGGGTCCAAGTATCCAAAAATGAAATAAAATACTGGGTATTCCGTAAGAAAAAATATAACTTTCGTATGGATGTTAGTTCTGACATACCCCGTACATTTCAAAATAATTTTAAATTATGCACATTGCCTTCCTACATATATCCATAAAATATTTTGTTTCTACATATATTTCCGTTTTCGTATAATCAACCGAGGTGAATGAGGTGTGCCACCCTGTATAATATTTTTCAAAAAGTTTCAGACATCAAACATGACTACAGGATTTAATTATTTCTTGATATAGGTACACAAAACTAGGTACTATAACTAATTTTTTGTCGCTGCTTCAACTCTGCAGCTATACAGGGTGGTCCGAACTGTATTCCGGAAACTTCGGCAGCATATTCTGCAGATAAAAATAAGTAAAAAAGTTCGTATAAATGTATGTCCTAAAATGCTTGGTTTCGGAGATACAGGGTGTAGCAGTTTCATTTTTATTTAAAGATTTTTCCCAAATAATTTCTGAAGTAACGTCAATATTTGGATGAAAATTGGTGTCTGGAAGTTCTTTGACATGAGAAATTTGATTTTAATGTCAATATGACTCCTACTTCTAGAGGGCGCCACCCACATATTTTTAACTGGTTTGAAGTATTGGTGATTTTTGGTGATTGGTTTTTAACTGGTTTGAAGCATTGAAGTGGTTACTGAGTAAAGAAATATACATTTACGAAGTTTTTTATGTAAAAAATGTCTCTTGGTAAAAATCGCTACGAGTAATGGTTCTCGAGATATTTGGAATCTAAATTATCAATACCTGTCATCATTGATAAATTAAACATGTTGACTAAATAGTAAAAATACTTAGTAGACTGAAATCATAAATTTTAAATGTTTTTGTGCCAAAAGTTTATCATTAATTTAAAAAAATTAAAATTTTCCAAATTTATTATTTCAGTCAAGAAACTATCTACTCAACGTGTTTATTTTTTGTCAATAATGACATGTATTGACTATTTTTATTCAAAATATCTTGAGAACGGTTCCACAATACACAATAAGGGGCCGTCCTCTGCCGGAAACACTGCGACCTGTGAGGAGGTTGCGACCTGTATGAACGGTTGCTCGTAGCGATTTTTACCAAAAGACATTTTTTTATGTAAAAAGTTAATAAAATGTATATTTTATCACTCCATAATTTTATACAGGCACGGACGAAAAGTTATTACTCTTCAAAACAGTTAAAACACATGTAGGTGGTGCCCTCTACAAGTAAGAGTCATATTGACATCAAAATCAAATTTCCCATGTCAAATAACCCCCAGACGCCACTTTTCATCCAAATATTGACGTTACTTTAATTATTTGTTACCGAAATTATTTGGAAAAAATTGAAATAAAAATGAAACTTCTAGACCTTGTATCTCCGAAACTAAGCATTTTAGGACATACGTTTATACGAACTTTTTTACATATTTTTATCTGCAGAATGTGCTGCCGAAGTTTCCGGAATACAGTTCGGACCACCCTGTATATAGGTAGCAGTTGTATTACTAGTATTGTGTTAATATTCTTAACACAATATTTTTCTAAAATATAAATTATTATCTGTACCTTCATACCTAATGTATTCTGACTTTCGACATATTATTTATGGCATATTGTTGCTACAAAACCTTGTTCATGCATAACATGTCATTGTCTATTTAAAAGACATGTATGGAAGTTTTTAAAATAGGTACTTAGAATTTTTAGAATTTAGAATGAGTGGGAGGGGGGTTAATCACTTCGACCTTACAGATCCATTGTGTCCCCCTTTCTTGAATCATAACTCATCATACAGTCCCAGGGCTTTGACAAAAGCCAGTATCTGGGACGGTTTTATAGAGGGTAGTTCTCCATCTCCAATATCAGTCGTACCAAAATTCATGGCACGAATGGTTGTCGTCTCGGCGCACTCAGTGATGAGGTGTACTGGTGTTTCACCATCTTCCCCACAGAATCTGCATTCGCCGTTTCTTCTTAGTTTCAATCTACTGAGGTGTTCATTGAGGAGACAGTGTCCTGTTAAAAACCCCGTGACAATCCGAAGATTGTTCTTACTTAGACCCAGGAAGATCTGTGATTTGTCTTGATCATAAGCCCTCAGAAACTTCTTCGAGTGTCCTAGACCATTGCAAGATTTCCATTCCAGGTTGCGGATGGAATCTTCCAAGTTCTTGAGTTCCGCCTTGAGTTGGTTACCACTTGGAAAAAATAGGTACTTACTTGTAACTATATCTTTCGCCGCTGTCAGAAACCTCTGTTTGTTGACTTTTAGGCTGACTTTGCTCTTCATAATGTTTACGAAGTATTTGTAACGATATTTTTTTTGGCAATCTTCACAATATATCTAAACCATTTATACGATGTATACTATGGAAGAAAACAAATACTTGTCAGAACAATATTATAAGGTTGTCTCGCACTGGAAAAGGTGTTTACTAGTTCTAAATACACAATTAAAAATCAAGAAATACAAGCAAGAAAGTAATTTGTACTTTCATTCATGTATAGTCATTGGTAAAAAAATATTTGCAGCAATATAAATTTCCTGGGTGTACTCACCGTTGTATTTTCATCTAGGGAATACAATTCTTGTTCTATTTTGAAACGAACTAACAATCATACTATGCAGTAACACCCAATACAATAAACACAAAACACGACAATAATCAAGTTAACATCTCCTTTTTGCTGCTAGCATGCTGTATCGCATGCTGCAAGGGTTAGACGGTTTTAATTTAGGCTATGTGGTGCCAAAAAAATTTAACTCCCGCCCAATTCGATTCCTCTTTTTAACATACATTTCCTATCCTTTACCCGCGAAAATAAATCGCAAAAAAGTTAAAAATATTTTAACTTATTTGCGATGCCGCAAAATCATAGAAGCGGGCATTCACAGTTATCAGTATGGATCAGACTGACGAAAAGTAAATTTAGGCGAAATTTCGCTTTTCCGCCCTCGTGAGGAACTACCTTTATTGTTAATTTTGATTAACGTCATATTTTTGCTTTAATAAGTAGTATTTGTTAAGTAAGCTATTTGTTAAAGTATCACATTTTCCAATAACTATTATCACCCTTCCTGTAGCATTGAACTAAATACATTTTGTGCTTCTTTAACATTATAAAACAATAAAAAATATAACGTTAAAGTTCTATTAATAACAATCTCTCCAAAAATGAAATCGAATGTATATTTCTAGAGAAACGCGTACTTGAGTTTTAGGACTTTAGGAAAAAAAATCGATTATATTTTAATGTTTTTTTTTAATTTTCTCTAAAACGGTATGGAAATTTTGAAAAATATAAACGGGATTAACCATTTAAAGCCCGGAACAAGCAATTTTTTTTATGAAGAATGATTTTTTCTCAAAATATCAATAATAAAAAACTTTTTCCTCTTGTAAAAGAAAATCCGGGTACATACTGTATACAGCTTAAAAATATAAAAATCTGCATATGAAAATTAAAAAGATTAGTAAAAAAAATTAAATTCTTAAGATTATGTTATGAATATTTTCTTCGTCTAAAATCGCGTGTCTTCATCGTCATCGTCAGCTTCCATTTTTATATAATCTTCTAAGGTAATATATATCTTCTCAGTTACAGATAGATTTTCGGTAGTTCTGGAAAAAAACAAAAATATTTAACGCTACTGTATCCATTAGTAAAACACATTTAAAAAACATACGTAAAGTCACCGTGCATGTTTTTATTCAGAACCGGTTCTACATCATCAGGTTCTATTTTAAAAAAATCTTCTGATTTTACTTTATTGGTAATAGACAGACATTCGGCATTTCTGTAATTAATAAATGACGTTATAACCATTACATTAGTAAAAACACATTAAAAAACATACTTAAAGTCATCCAAATGTGGAGTGTAATCATCAATTTCTATTTTTAAAGAATCTAATACCACTTCATCATTTGGAGATATACAATCAGCATTTCTGGAAATAATAAAAAATTAAAATGGCGAAATATGTGTCTGAACGTTTCTGTTTCAATGGCAATATTTCAAAGAACTTTTTAATAATCGCAAGGGTTTAAGTTTGACTCTTCCCATATTTTTTTACTAATAAAAAGCCGCGACTTCATTTCCAAATCAACTCTGACGCCATTTTTTCAATCAAACGGTATCATCATCGTTAACCAGCCTGAAGTGTCCACTGCTGGTACTATAAGAAGAAGTCATCTGACCATCTTGACGGTTTAGTATTAACTTGGTCCATCTATCGTCCGTTCTTCTGGCAATATGCCCAACCCTGTTCCATTTGAGTTTTTTAAGTAGATATATAACATCTGTTATTCTTGTAAGCTGTTTTGTTACTGTATTGGGTATCTTTTATCTTAGAGATATACCAAGCATTGATCTTTCCATAACTCGTTGGGCTACACGGATGTTTTCTACTAACTTTTTTCTTGCAGGCATATTTTGTTGTTCGTGTATTTTGTCTGTAATCAAGGGCCCGATTCTTGAGTGTAACAGAATAGAACGGCAATAGAACCATAGTATAAGGAAACTAGTAGCTTTACTCCTTGTCAAATCCTTTGTTCTTTTTCTGCCACTTTATGACCTTGTTATCGCCTCCCGTGACCACTGACGTAGCTGTATAGTCGTGGTCTATTAACTAGGCAAGGAAGAGTCGTGGCCATAGTTTCACAGATATGTATTTAGGAAAATATGAGTTCACAATAAAATAAAATAAAAAAAAATGATCATCGAGTAAAAACTTGCTTGAAAACAGAATATTTTCACATTTCGTGTAGGTAACAATTCTTCTGTACCTGAAAATCTGATGGGAAGAACTGCGGAAAAAATATATAATGACATTTTTATATTATTATCTATTTCAGAGATTTTCTACATTTTTTTTTATTTAAAACAACTTTATTTTTCTGTAGATAACTGGATTCGGCATAAAATTCTGCATATAGTACACTGTCTTTATTTAAAGCACACTGCGGTTTTCCCATTCTATTTCTTATTTGCTAAAATTTTGGTTAAAAACATTATATACGAAAAGTGGTAAAAAAACTAGAGTGAATATAACTTTATTAATACTTAGCTATGTTTTCTTAAACATGAAGGATACCAGAATAAATTTGTGTAGAAAAATTCACTTTATCGTATTTTTTTATGACGTCACCAAAATTGTAATATTTAAAATGTTGTATCTCATTTTTTTAAATGCAACACCTTGTATATTATTTTTCTTTCAGATGTAGAATTAAAAGGTGAACATTTTTTGTATTTAAAGTGTTCTTAAATTTTTAGCCGTTTTGCAAATATTTTCAAATATCAAACAAAGATCATATTAGGTGGCTTTGATAAAAATTTACTGTTGAAAATATATGTAATATAATACTGCAAATATCTGATAGCAATATGTCTGATAGCAAACATAACTTAATTAATAATATCAACACCTCACAAAAAGTAATAGCTCAGTGGTTCAGTAAGAATGGGTTGAAATTAAATAGCGAATATATTAAATTTGGTAATTGTGGTTTTTCCGCCAGTGATCCTCTCTATGTTGGGGAAGAGATGATAACACTGCAAGGACATACAAAATTCTTAGGTATTATTTTGGATAACAAATTTACTTGGAAGTTTCACATTCAATACCTTTTAAATAAAGTAAGTAAATTTTATTAGGTACTTGTTATTAAATTTAAAATTTTTAGTGTCTCGTAACGTTATGCTAAGTGTGTATTACGGATATATATTATCAAACTTGAGATTTGGTTTAATATTCTGGGGAAATTCGTCTCATATATGTGATTTATTTATATTTCAAAAAAAAATGTTTAAGGTGTATATTTAATTTAAAACAAATTGAGAGTTGTAGAAATACCTTTATTAACAACAGCATTTTAACTTTGCCAGATTTATATATTTATGAAGTTTTAGTTTTTTATAAAAATTATAGTCACCTATTTTCTCAAGGTACGCGTGGTCACACCTATTCAATAAGAAATAAATCTATGTTATTAATAAATCTAACGAGAACTGACACTGTTTTTAAAGGGTTGCAAAACTTTGCTTTAAAAATTTTCAATAAATTGCCCGATTACTTAAAACAACTAGACATAAAAACATTCAGAAAAGAATTAAAGTATTATCTTGTGAATAGGTGTGATTACTCTGTTGATATTTTTTTTGTTTAATGTTTAATCATTTATTAGTTATTTTTTAGTTTATTAAGGTGCATTTTTGGTTAATTATTGATTATTGTGGTTGTTATATGTATTTTTGAACCACTGATTATGTAATCTTTGAGTTGTGGTTTTCGGATTGTTTCTTATATTTTTTTTGTTGGTGTTGCCATTTTTGCCATGTAAAATATGACATTTGTTCCACATTGTAATTACAATATTTGAACAATAAATAAATCTATCTATCTAAATCTATCTATCTGCCAAACCGTTAAAAATTTAGAAACACTTTAAATAAAAAAAATGTTCACTTTTTAATTCTACATCTAACAGAATATACAGAATGTTGCATTTAAAAAAAAATGAGATATACCATTTCAAATATTCCGATTTTGGTGACGCCATAAAAAATACCCTATATAGAATAATGTATATACAGGGTGTCCCAGAAATGAGTGCAGATATTTTAAGAGGTGGTAGATCTGGTCAAAATAAACATATTTTCTCTTTACCATTTTTAAAATAAATTGAAAATAACTGAGTTATTTAACTTTGAAAATTTAAAAAAATAATTGCAACATTTTGAGAATCGCCGGCAGATATTGCCAACTACATCCAATTACCCGTATCAAGCCCGGATTTCAGTTAATTCGACGCACTGTGTTGCCATATGGACAAGAAAGTATGTTTACAAGTAAGTCATAACAGCACAACACCTGAGGAGTTTGCAGAGATGCATTACATTTTTAAGATTGTGATATTATTACATAAAATAAATTAAAAGTTAAATGTTTAAAAGTTAAATTAAAAAACTTACCCAACATTAAAAAATATACTTATGACAGATCGATGTAACTGCGACAGTTCTCTTTTTCGATACACACTTAACTAAAATACACTTCATTGTTGCTGCTTTTACTTGTACGTGCTATTATAAAAACTGCTAAAATAACAGTCCCAATTTTTAACTTAACACATTATTTTCATATAGGCTTTCACAATTTGAACCACTGATTTACAAACACACCTTGAAAAGCACACATTACACATTACTTTGAATATCTTTCTGAATGAATAAATGTTGAGAGGTATTGTCTCTTACCGCCACTTTACGAACTACTTTCAATCTAAGAAAATACATGTTTCACTCAACAATTTTAAATACGTATTTTGCTTTTCGCTATTTTTTCGATGTATTTAGACAATTCCGTCAACAGCCCAATCATCCGTCGGCCAAGACAGCCACGCATCACTGGTTGGTGTTGGTAACTACTCACTGCTTCTTTGTCGCGCCGGCGTGTCGAGCTTGCGTCATGCGAGGTTGCCGTAGTTTCAATTACTTTCAAATTCAAGACATTCTCAGAGCAATCAAATTCTTATTAAATTTTAAAAATAAAACAGAGAAAAACATGAAAAGAAACAAACAAAAAACACAAATGAATTGATTATTGATAAGGTCACAAAAAAAAGAAATTTCTAAATTGTTTATCGTAATTCAGAATTCAATATATCGAAAACAGCCCGGACGAATAATCAATTCATTTTCGTTTTGTTTGTTACCTTCATGTTTCTCTGTTTTATTTTTTAAAATTTAATACAAATTTGATTGCTTCGAATCTCTTGAATTTGAAATTGTTGTAACTACGGCAACGTTGCTTAACATCGTCGTCTGACGCAAGCCTGCCACGACGGCGCGCGCCTCAAAGGACCAGTTCACACGTGGCACTCTTTGGTCGACGTGCGACGGTCGGGCTGTCAAAATACATCGAAAAAATAGCGAAAAAACAAAATACGTATTTAAAATTGTTGAGTGAAACATGTCTTAAATTGAAAGTAGTTCGTAAAGTGGCAATAAGAGACGGTATTCAAAGTAATGTGCGCTTTTCAAGGTGTTTTGTAAATCAGTGGTTCAAATAAAACAGAGAAACATGAAAGAAAACAAATATTGAATTCTAAATTACGATAAACATTTTAGGAATTTCTTTTTTGTGACCTGGTTGTGAATAATATGATGAATCATTTTCGTAAACGTCATAAACGTAATGTTTTAGTTAATTTTCGGTGGTTTTTGTTAAGTTTTCATTGAAAGGGTAAGTACTAAAAATAATTAATGTGTTTTTTTTTCTATAATAATTATTAATAATGAGCACTGATAAAAATTTAACATTCCTAATTTTTGAGTAGAAATTTTTCTATGAATTTATAAATGAAGAACTATGTAGAATGTGGTTACAACACTGCAAGGTTTAGATACACCGTAGAGAAATCTCAGGCGAATAAACAAGTGGCACTAAAAAGTTTTTTCAAATTTCCCGGAAAATGTCAAGAAAAATTTTAAATTTTCAACATTTTTTTTTCGCAAAAAAAAACCTCACAGGCGTGTTTCTGGGGTTGAACTATACTACCAGTTAAAATATTTGCACTTATTTCTGGGACACCTATAATGATGTAAAATAATTAAAAAAAATAAAACTAACTTTACCATAACTTTTTTGTAACACCCTGTATATAACAAAATATTTTAGGATACGCCCCTTTATAAACCTTGAAACATATGAATAAAACTTTTTTCACATCTTCGACAATGACGACGATATTGGACTTACTCGCACAGGGCCACCCTGTATATTTACGGCGGATTAAAGCTAGGTGTAGCACTTTTCTTCCCTCAAATATAAATTCAATATTTTGTCTATAATATTTTGAATATTGTTATATTACGACCACTTATAATAAAAAATAAATAAAAAAACATAAAAAATACAGTCCACTAAATTTATAAGAGATTATG